CAGTCGGTTAAGCATCCGACTTCAGCTCAGGTCAAGATCTCACAGTTCGTGGGTTCGAGCCCCACATCAGGCTCTGTGCTGACAGCTCAGAGCCTGGAGCCTGTTTCAGATTCTGTGTCTCCCTCTCTCTCTGACCCTCCCCTGTTCACACTGTCTCTATTTCTCTCTCAAAAATAAATAAAACATTAAAAAAAAAAAAAAGAAATGTGGTAGTAGACTTAACATCAGAAAATCATTGCCATTAACTGCATTAACAAGTTAGAACTGCATTAACAAGGAGAACAAAACATGGGATCTTAATACAGAAAAAATACTCAATAAAATTCAATTTCTATACACACAGAAAAAGTCCTAGGGGTGCCTGGGTGGCTCAGGCAGCTAAGTGCTAGACCCTTGACTTCAGTTCTGGTCATTATCTCAAGATTCGTGACAGTTCTGCACTGACAGCACAGGGCCTGCTTGGGATACGCTCTTCCCCTCTCTCTCTGCACCCTCCCCTGCACATGCTCATTCTCTCTCATGTGCTTACTCTGTCTCGAAATAAACAAACATTAAAAACAAATCTCCTAGCATACTAGGAATAAAATTAGGACTTGTTAGCAAGGCCAAAGGTTCCATACATTCACTCATGTTTATGATCAAACATTTAATTACTCATTTTAAAATCCAGGGGAAAAAAAAGATACTCCAACTATCACCACTTCCATTCAGCATGGCACAGCAGTCCTAGGCACTACAATATGACAATAAAAAGTAAAATCCTAAGAATAAAAAAGGGTGAAAATAAAATGCTATCCACAAATATTGCCTAAATAGATATCCAGAGTATATAGATAACCATACAGAGAATTCAAATAGATTACCAATAGTCTTCTGAGTTCATGTATTTTAGTAAAGTTGCAGGATACAACAGCTGACAAAAGTCAATTGCATTTCTATGCATCAGCACAGAGAAAACAAAATTTTTTTTACTGGGAATGTAACGTATGACATAAGGACTACAGTTAATGCTATATGGTGTATTTAAAAGTTTGTAGGAGAATAAACTCAAAGTTCTCACTGTAAGGAAAAAAATTTAGTAACTGTATGAAGTAAAGGATGTTAACTTATCGAGATAGTCATTTTGCAATATACACGTATGTCAAGTCATTATGCCGCATACCTTAGGCTTCTGGTGTTGAAAGTCAATTGCATCTGAGCACAACTGGAAAAAAAATTAAATCTCTAACAAAAGATATCCAAGACCCTAATGGAGAAATTATAAGACTACTCAAAGATATTTTAAAAGATGTAAATAAATCAGATGTTATCATGTATACGAAGAGAAAATCTCAGCATCAATATGATGTCAGTTCTCTAGAACTGCCAAGTCAATGCAACTTTAATTGCAAAAATCACAACAGATTTTTGTGAAAACCAATGAGATTTAAAAATTTCTAAACAGGAGCAAAAAACCAAGAGCCCTGGCAATGCAAAGAAAGACGGGGATTTGCCTTACCAGACGTCAACACTTAAAGCTCCACTAGGTAAGACAGTGTGGTGCTGATGCAGACAGACAGACGACAGACAGACGGGTGAAAGACAAGAGGTGAGGACCAGACGTGGGTGTATTTGCTAATTCAATGCCTGACACATGTGGCACTTGGAAATAAGTGAAGAGATGGCTTACTTAAACAAGTGATGTTTTCACACGAGTCTGAAAATAAGCTATAAAATGTGGTAACACTTTGCCAAATTCGTCTTGGTTTTGATGGGTTTAAAAATAACTACTGGAAACGGATGGTGGGGATGGCTGCACAACAATGTGAATGCACTTCATGCCACTGAACTTACACTTAAAATAGGTGAAGACAGGGCGCCCGGGTAGCTCAGTCGGTTGAGTATCTTACTCCTGATTTTGGCTCAAATCATGATCCCGAGGTAATGGAATAGAGCCCCATGCTGGGCTCTGCACTGAATGTAGAGCCTACTTGGGATTCTCTCTCTCTCCCGCTGCCCTTCTCCCCTACTCGGTCTCAAAAATCAGAGTAAGAATAAGGAAAAATTAACATTAAAGTCAAAATTAAAATTATAAAAGGGGTGTCTGGGTGGCTCGGTTGGTTAAGCATCTGACTTTGCTCTGGTTGTGGTCTCAAGGTTTGTGAGATCAAGCCCCGCACCTGGCTCTGTGCTAACAGTGTGAAGCCTGCTTGGGATTCTCTCGCGCTCTCTCTCTCGCTCTCGCTCTCTCTCTTCCTCTCTCTCTTCCTCTCCCTCTCTCTGTCCCTCCCCCATGTTCTTTAAATAAATAAAAATAAAAGGTTAAGATGGCAAATTTTATGTTAGGTATATATTATCACAATTGCGTATTTTTTAATTCAATGTATTTTTAAAAAGTAGTTTTGGGAAAACTGGTGATTCATCTGTGTAAGAATCAAACTGGACCCATGCTTCACCACCAGCAGGGTAAAGATTAAACACAGTCCTTAAAACATTAAAGATAATTCAGAAAAATTTCCTGATAGTCCTGGGAAAAGGAAACATTTCTATGACTCAAAAAGTACAAAACCATAAAGGAAAAGATAGATAAATACTTATCTATATTAAAACATACCAGAAGCTGACAGGAAGAGTTTATTTTCAATGCACATTTAATAACCAGAAATTTAAAGAATTCCTAAAATTAAATAAATAACTAAACACACAACTGTCCCCCTCAACAAAATGGGCAAACTACAAGGACAGACATTTCACAGCAGAGGAAGTACAAGTGGCCAATAAACATGTGAAGAGACACTTTACCTCATTAGGACCCAGAGATAGGCAAACAGAGATACCGCTTTACATCCCCAGGCTGGGAAAAGTTCAGATAGCAAACCATAGCAAACGTGTGGGATATAGTCACCACAGACTGCATGGGGGTGGAAAGTGGCACAGCCACCTCGGAAAACCACTTAGCATCACTGAGCAGAGCTGAAGAGGGACCCAGCCTACCTCCCAGAACTTTCATCCCCAAACGTCAGGCCTACAGAAGCCCACACGCACGCGCACCAGGAGACAAGCAGAGACTTGTGCACAAAGCTCTGAGAGAAAGACGCCAGACATGACGGTAGAGTGTATGGCTCCATTCAGACAGGGTGCAAGAACAGGCAAGACTACCTGTGGTTGACAGATGTCTGACCACTGGTGGCTTTTGGGGTGGGCACTAATGGCAAGGGGACAGGAGGGGACTTCTACAGGCATGAAAATCATCTCTATTTGGAATAAAGTGTCTGTTACATGAGTGCATGCATTCGTCAAGACTCACTGAACTACACGATTAGTATCTGTGCACTTCCCTGTGTGTAAACTCTGTCTCAGAAAAAGAGAGAGGGGGGAATAGTAAGCCAATGCATCTTCTGAAGGGGAACAATTTGTTCCACATACTTCACCAGCAGCAATTTGCACACAATTGCACTCTTAGCACAAATTTATTTTTTCCACTTAAAAAAAGTGGGCTTAAATTTTCTTCATGGCAACATATTTTAGCGAGTTCAATCCAAGATATGGTAAGTATTTGAAAATAAGGCTCCCGGGACTTCCCCATTCACTCTCAATCAATTAAGTGAAAATATTGGGACACACAGAAAAATTAAAAAGTTAAAGGCTGAACAGTAAACAGCAGTTCAGCTGTATTACTTTACATGTAAAGGCTAAAATTTCACAAATGACTGCCTCTTGCTTTTCTGCATTACTCACTGTGGATATATATACATAATCCCGGCAGCAAATCATTCAAAACTTATTTGGTACCACCAGCTCCTTTCCCCATAGTTCCTCCCTGAAGGAGAGAAAGGCACCAATCTGCAGTTTGAACAGTAAATTCCAATTTCCAGCCCAGAGTTCTCATCTCCACCAGGCTGTTTGCTGGCGCGTGTGTGATCAAACCTAAAATCTGTTGTGTCTAAACTTCCCATACTGCACACAAAAGCCCAGTCACAAAGCAGACACCAGTAACGTATTGCATACCTGTCTTTTCTGGGATTGCTATATGCCTCTTCAATCAGCTCCATTTTGTCCAGATCCTTCCACTTGCCTCTGTCCAAGAACTGCCATCGATAGGGCAAATGGAAATGGACTTTATTGCACTTATCTAAAATAAAAATATAAAGAAGTAAGACATCTTGGCAATACATAGCATGACCCAGGCCCAGGGTTCTCAATGGGGGGTGGTGATGCCCACTGACCTAGGCACATTTTGGAGATCTGTTGGGGACATCATTTTTAGTGCAGTCATGCCTGAACATCTAAAGACTGAAATACTGTGTATTTTATTATACACACTTCCATTTTACATCTCCCCTTTAAACAGGACATTACATCAATTTTAAAAAATACTTATGTTGGTAGATAACATTACATTTGAATTTCATCTCATGAGCAAAGAAGCTGATCATGAAAACGCCAATCAGACTGCAGGAGGCAGTGTGATTACCCATTATCACTACACATGTAGCATGTGGACAAGTAGCAGCCACACTAAAAATGGAGCCAGATTCAGCTCTACTAGAAACCCATCCAAGCCCCGACACATCTGACCACACGGAAGGTCAGCAGTATGGTTCCAGCCCACTTTGATCTTCTGGCTGCTAACACACTCACCCCCTTAACACATCCCCACAGCCCTGATTTATATACACTGCCCTGCCCCTGCCAAAATACACAGAATGGCCCAGGTCTACAATTTCAAGCCAGGTGCTCCTCCTCCATCTTCCCTGAGCTCCCTGGGACCTCTGTCACTCCTAGCACACTCTGCCTGCCTCGCCTTGGCTCATGCCAGCCCCTCACCTGCAATCACCCGACACTTTTACTGCTTTTCAATATCCTACATGAGGTTCTGGTACATCCCCACAGAGGAAAGGCACACTGGAAAGAAAAGCAGCAGCAATCACTCTGCACTCTGACACAGAACAATTTACGAGGTATATTATATTAGGTAGAAAGGTACACAACAAGGTGCAGAATGCCGCTACTTGGGTAAAAAAATAGAAAAGAAAAATGAGAGCTCCTCTGACTCAATACGTATACACACACATATTATTCCTTGCAGAGGGGAAGTTGGTAGCCAGGAACGAAACTGCGAGGAAAGACTTGTGTTGTTTTCTTTTGAATTTTGAACCACAAGAATATATTCAAAAAAATTAAAAGTCTAGTTAAGTGGGAAAAAATACGGAACAGTGTGCACAGTGCACCTATGTGAGAAGGAAACTGACCAGACATAAATACTTGTGCACGAATAAAATCTTTGTGGAAGAACAGTTAAGGAACTGGTAACAATGACTGCTTCCGGAGGGGATCTGGGTGCTAGAAAAAAGAGGTGTAAGAGAGACACTTCTTACTGACTGCCCTTTGTACATTTTTAATTCATCTGTCAAAATATGAACAATGAAACATGGCTAATTTGAAACTTGAAAAAAAGTAAAATTTTCTAAAATTGTATGCAGCCTTTGTGGGCACGTCTCAATGCCACTTCTTTCCCCACAGACTCTACAAAAGGTACCTTGGTCAAGGAGGACCATGGAGGAAGGTGGGCAGACTGCCTGAAGTTGTCAAAGGCCAGGCCTGAGGCCGGGCAGACAGGGCAGACAAGAGCACCCAGCCAAGAAGACTCAGGGAACAAGAGAGACCCCAACCAAGGAAATCCCCTCCAAGTTCACCAAGGCTGGATTCAGACACTCTGGGGATTCAGGACATCCTGACTTGTCCAGAGTTAGAGCGTGGACTGCTAATACCAAGACAAGAGACCTCTTGGACTCTCTACCATGGGTACGCACAATATAGTGGTAATGAAGGGCTCAACCTGGATAGATAAGGCCACAGCTATGATCCAGAGGTCATAACCACGTTAAGATTTTCTGTTCCCTCCCTAAAGGTCACTAAGGGAATGATCAGAGTTAAGAGCATATAGTCCCTGCACCTATATACTTCGGTTCAGGTGAGTCCTGGACAGCCTAAAGACGCTCCCCTTAAGAAGATCCCCTTCAAGTAAGGCACACCACCCACCACCCTCCAGGCTGATACTTCCTTGGGACGGACACAGGGGCACAGGGAAAGCTCTGGGGTCAAGCTGCAGGCCCCAGGCGTCCAGGTCGTAATGTGAGCTCAACGTGAAGTCCACACCACTCACAAGCCAGAGAAAAGAAGGTGCCATGCAGGCCACTGCAGCCACGGTGGCTGGTTAGAGCAGAGTCCTGGCTGACGAGTCCCCTTCTCTGCCATATCTTCCCTCGTCCTCCTGTCCACTTTCTCAATTGCCTTTCCCTCTTTCCAATGTTCCCCTCCTTGTCGTGACATTCTAGAATCTAGGTCTTCTAGAAGGTAAGCCGCAAAAACCAATTTAACTTGGCAGACAAAGTGCCACATCCATATCCCCTTTCTCCCTACATCACATGAAATGACAGAACAGAGAGAACAAATTGAAAAACGCTGGAAAACAGTAAGTAGTGGTGTCAAAAGACCCAAATTCCTAAAAATATGAAGCACACAGAATCAAACTGACAAAGATAAAGAGAAAAAAACACCTGCAAGATATGCAGAAGAGAGCTACCATGAAAGGGGGAAATATTGGGGGGAAAGGATTAACAAACTCAGAGTTTCATAGAACGAAAAGCAAGAAAGACACCTTGTCAGTCACGGCGAGACCAAATGGAACCCACCAGGGCAAGAACTCCCTCTGTACATTGCTTGTGCCCAGCAACCTTGCTGTTTGCCCCACAGAACATGTGAGTATGGATAACTGCTAGAGAGAAACAAGCATGTAAGAGGGCCAAAGTCTCCGCCCCACTGCAAGGGTACACACTAGCAGCCCATGCCACTGCACAAAACGTACTGCCTCTTCCCCGTTAAGCCTCGATCAGAATCCACATCACCAGCATACACTGGATTCTGGAATGGATAACCAAGAGTCAGCCAATATGTGAGGAAGAATAACAGACAGGAAGCTAACTCACACAGAAGAACCAATACCAGGGCACCTGGCTGGCTCAGTCAGGTAAGTGTCAGACTTGTGATTTTGGCTCAGGGCATAATCTCACAGTTTGTGGGTTCGAGCCCAACATCGGGCTCTGTGCTCACAGCTCAGAGCCTGGAGTCTGCTTCAGATTCTGAGTCACCCTCTCTCTCTGTCCCCTCCCCCACTCACTGTCACACTCTCTCTCAAAAATGAAATAAAATCTTTTAAAAAAAAATGTTAAATATCATTATCCTCAGGGAAATGCAAACTAAAACCACAATGAGATATCCCTACTCGTTAGTTACAATGGCTAAAGTTTAAAAGACTGACAATACCAAGTGTTAACAAGAACACAGAGCAACAAACTCTCATACATTGCTGGCAGGAAAGTATACCCAACAGTTTTTTATAAAGTTGAACACATATGTTCCAGTAATTCCACACCTAGGTCTTTTCTCAAAAGAAATGAGTGAAAACAGGAGTGCCTGGGTGGCTCAGTCAGTTAAGTGTCCAACTTCGGCTCAGGTCATGATCTCATGGTTCATGAGTTTGAGCCCCAAATCCAGCTCCATGCTGACAGCTTGGACCCTGCAGCCTGCTTTGGATTCTAGGTCTCCCTCTTTCTCTGCCCGTCTCCCACTCATACTCTCCCTCAAAAATAAACATTAAAAAAGGTTTTTTTTAACAAATGAAAACATATACCCAAATTAAAACTTGTAAATATATATTTATAAAGGATTTGTAAAAGCCTAGAAACTTCAAACACCTCAAATGCTCATCAACATATGAACTGATAAACTGTAGACAATCATACAAAAGAATATGACTCAGAAAAAAAAAAAGGAGCAAACTATTGATTTGCCAGCATGGACAAATCACAAAAACATGCTGAATGAGAGAAGACAGGTACAGAAGAATACATGCTCTATGATTGCATTTATACGAATTTCTAGAAAGGTCAAATCTACACTGACAAAATACAGGTCAGGGACTGTGTGTGGGTCAGGAAAATGGGGGGGCGGGGTGAAGATTCACTATAATGGGACATAGGGACACTTTTAGAGGAAAGAAATTCTTCCATTTCCTCAACTGTTACTACCAAATTCAGTGTATACTTAAAAATTTTTAAATACTTAAAATTTTATTGTGTATAAATTATATCTCAATAAAATGGATTTTAAACACCTAAATGCATATATGATACATATAGCTTGAGCTAGCATTCCACTTCCAGGAATCTAGCTAAGGAAATACCCATGTGTACTCAGATGCGCCATGGAACATCACTAACTGGACACTATAGTTGTTTTTAAAAATAAAGTGGACTTACACATACCAATGTAGAAAAAAAAATCTTCAAGACACAATGTTAACGAAGCAGGTTAAATAATACCTATCACATGTTCCCATCTGTGAAAAACATGCGAAACAAGGATCATAACCACACGGCACGTGTTTACCTTTGGGAAGGGCTGAAGGAGGACTTCAGACTTTATTCTGTATTATTGGACTCTTTCACAAAGTGAAAGTATTCCTGAATTGCTTGGGTGGCTTTTAAAGACTGAAAACAAAACAAGAAGTTTGGTGGTTGTTTTTTAAGAGCAGTCACCGAATTTGAGAAGAAAGCTTTCTTCAGTCAAAGCTCAGGACAGCAATAAGAAGAAAACAAAAGGTTTAGTAAATACAAACACGTACACTCGAGAATTTCTACCTGTGATAAAAGAGGGACCATGCAGAGAAGGGGCACCTGGGTGGTTCAGTTGGTTAAGCGTCTGGCTCTTGGTTTCGGCTCAGGTCATGATCTCACAGTTCAGGAGTTCAAGCCCTGCGTCAGGCTCTGTGCTGACAGCACAGAACCTGCTTGAGATCTCTCTCTCCCTCTCTCTCCGCCCCTCCCCAGCTAGCTCTCTCTCAAAAAACAAAATAAAGATTTTAAAAAAAGATGGACCATGGAGAGAAACCCCCAACTTAAGTTCTTATTCCGCAAGAGAAAATAGAGGCATCTCCTCCTCGGAGAGGGCCTTCTGGGTTTCTGAGGCATTTCTAAGTCTATGATCCCCTTTATAAGAGATACTTATATTTGTTTCCACTAGACAGGGCATCTGTGCAGGTCTGTGACCTCATGCTAAGGTGATCAAGGGTCAACACTGGACACTGAATGAACCAGTTATGTTCCCCAAAACTTATCTACAGTCTGATTTCCAAAAACCCAATTCCTACCATCCTCAACTCCCCAACAAAATCGCTTCCGAACTGGTTTGGCAGAAGTGCCACACCAGCTGACAATGAAGAAGGCCCCAACCTTCTGTGGACAGAGGAGACGACCTTGAGGGGTGGCCTTCAGGCAGAACTCTTGAAACAAAAAGCAGCTACTTCACCTGCAAGTGAAGGAAGGGGATTCCTCTGACTTACCTTGAAAGCTACAACTTTTCCAGATGTGGTATAAGCAGATCTGATCATTCTCCTCCTGGTTACTACTGTTTGGGGATCCACAACCTGAACTATCTCTTCTTTCTACAAGGAAACACCACAAACATGTATCAGCATCCACCAAAGCTTCTGACATGGAGTCAGAGTAGTTAAAGATACAAAGGTGAGAAAAGAGCATTCATTTCTCTGCAGAAGTCAAAAGTAGGTGAGGTGATCTCACAAAACCCTAGGATGTTCAGGATGAAACTGCCTCAGACATACAAGTGAACCCTCTATGCTTCTTAGGGAGAAGCCAGGGAGCCCAAAGCCACACAGCTGCTTGCCAAACCCAGGACGTCATGGAGAGGCTCTTTTTTTCTCAGCTCTGACTATGCTCCCAATCTTAAAATGAAACCTCCTTAAATAACTTTACATTAATTACAATAATTTTCATATAAATCAGGCATGGACATGATTTCAAAGTTTATCTTTACTAGAAGTGCTCCAATGAGACTTTACCTAACAATTCCATTTACCACTGCACCCACCTACCATAATACAAGCACATAAAGCTCATTTGCAAACCCTCCCTACTCAGTATCACCTGTTACGTTATTCCTTTTCCTTTTTCTTTTTATAAGCCCCTCAGACATCCACAGGGTAGGCCTCAAAACCCACACCTTTGGGGCCTTGGAAATAACCTCCCTTGCTCCCCAAGAGCAGGTAGCCCTCCCTCCCTTTCTAAGGCCATAATCCAACTGACACTCTTAAAGATCTTTTTACAGCAAAACCTGTCTACATCTAGCTTCCTACTATTGAAAGAAATTAACCCAAAATAACCCAAGAAAATGTAAAGAAAATATATACATATATGTCATGATCTCACAGTTCATGGGTTCGAGCCCCACATCGGGCTCCATGCTGACAGCCTGGAGCCTGGAGCCTGCTTTGGAGTCTCCCTCTCTCTCAACCCCTCCCTACTCATGCTGTCTATCTCTCTCTCTAAAATAAACATTTAAACAAGTTAAAAGATTAAAGTTTTTTTGCTGGTAGTCCTAGCACTCACCTGATAGGAAGTAGTCTATTAAAAACCCTAGATACCACTGTAGCTAACAAATGGTTTGATTATGCATTCTGGTGGGGGGAGTCCTTCGTCCTAATCTCTTAGGTATAACCAGGGCCCAGGTCAGTGGTTAGCGCTTGGCAATCACTCAAATTTGTTAAATTAAAGAATGGATAACCAGAATGGCCAGCCAATAGCCAATACTGAGAAATCCAAAGGACACCAATGTATTATAACCTCTCCAATGGACTACATTATCGATTTCCCACATAATAGGTGCTAAAGAAAAATTTTTAAACATGTTTTTAATGTTTGATTTATTTTGGGGGAGGGAGACAGAGCATGAGCTGGGGAGGGACAGGGAAGGAGACACAGAATCTGAAACAGGCTCCAGGCTCTGAGCTGTCAGCACAGAGCCTGACACGGGGCTCGACCTCATGAACCAGGAGATCATGAATGAGCCAAAGCTGGACGTCTAACCGACTGAGCCACCCAGGCGCCCCAAGAAATGCTTATTAAATAAGCAATCTCTTCTCATAATTCCCCCATCTGCTTGTCACTAAGTCTGACATTCCTTTATAAAAAAAAAAAAAAAAAGTATCTTAGCATGCTCAATCACTCAACAAATGCCTGTGTGCCCACTATGGGCCAGGCATTACCTAGGTGCTGAAGATGAGCAGCGAACAAAGCTAATTTACAGGGACTAAAAAATTCCATTATTCTTGCCAGGAAGAGAGTTGAAATTAAAATATGCTTCCTTCACTGTAGATCAGACCCATGGGGAATTCATTCAGTCAACCTCAAATGGCATTTAGAATGTCTTGCTTGTTCACAGCTACGATTTCAAATCATCTTTACAATACCCAATGGCAGAGAAAGAATCACCAACTGCACTTTACTGAAAGCAGCGCAGACTTGCCCAAAGTCATACATTCCATTAATGGCCGGGTAGAATGTAAGGGCCCCAGCCCAGGGCCTTACCAGAAGTCCCCTGAGGGCCTAGGGGAGGAGTGTGCCCTCTGCTGGGGGTGGAGCTCCTATTCTTGATGTCATGAGCATTTCTGTATATGGAAGGCAGCCTGCTCACCAGATCGGAGTTCATGCCCAACTTCTCCAGTTTCTCCAGGTTCTCAGAATTAGAGATATCATGAGATCTCTTACAGCCAGTGCCAAACTTGCATTCACCCTGTAAAAAATACTGGCAGATATGCAGTTTGATACACTGCTTTTGAAAGGAACAAGAGCCATAGGGTCCATCTCCTTTGTTGTAATGAAGGCAGATCTGTTGACAGAAAAGGAAAAAAAAAAAAAACAGAACACCAGCTTAGGAAGGTCTCAAAAGAACACCACCACCCTACTGGCCAGTCCACAGTCAGAAGTTCCTCTAGAGACCTAGCCAAAGCTGTGATTCCGTCATCCACACAAGTCACACGGCTGTGAGAACGTCTTCCACTCCAGGTGGACCACTGCTAACATACGCCCTTGGATAAAATGGGAACCGGGTGGACAGCAGTGAGCAGAACAAGCCCTTCCACTGGGAAAATCCAAAGAACTTCCAATGGGTCAGAGCTGCTCTCTTCCCAGGAAACAATTAAATGTTACTCACATGGCAGGATGCTAACAACCCATATACTCCACCTATACCCTTCCCCCACTGACTCACCAAGTCTCCCTAAGCCAGGCTCCTCTCTCCCTTCTTTTTTCTGAAATTCAAGGTTAAAGAGGCTCTGAGGTGTTTACAGCATCTTGGAGAAAGCCAAATACAGCCCTTTCGTTTCTCAGGAGCAAACTGAAACTCAGAGTAGTTCACAGGCTTGCCCTAATTCACCTCCAGCTACCTACATCTGGCACACACAGTAGCTGGTAAACTGGGTTGTTGGTAAAGCGGAGACTTAAACTTGAATCAACTGCTCCTTCTCTACATTCCAAATTCCTGGAGGCAAGAACCAGGCCAGAGAGCACCAAGAGCCTACCCCCTCAATTCACAGACATAGCACTGAACCAGAGGTAGAAAAGCAGCAGAGGACTACAGATAAGCAGGGACCCCACTCAGGGATAGAAGCCCCAAGGAAAAAGGCTAAAGAAGGCTGGGCCCGAACCTTGATTCTTCCACTTACAAGATGCCTGACCTTAGGCAAGCCACTCACTCACCAGCTCCGAATTTCAGCTTTTTAATCCCTAAACTGGGAATAAGGCTACCTACATCACTGGGTTATTATGAGGATTAAATGGAAAATATACAAGGTGGCTAATACAATGCCTTGGAACATAGTGGGTGCTTGATTCACAGTGGTGTCCTCCAACTGTTCATCTGATAAGGGGACTAGCCTGAGAGCAGAAGGTTGGCAGAAAAGCTGCACTGGATCTGAGTTCATGGTCACAGTTCCCACATGCTGGCAATGTGTTCTAAAACAACCTGTATACCCAAGAAGACAGGAGGCTACACACTCAGGACCAGTCACCTTAGAATTCATTTTTTATACCACTGACAAGATGATCGCTACAAAACATTAATGCCCACTCTCCAAACACAACCCCCCACCCCAAGCCCTTCCTGTGATGCTGAAGGCTATGTGGATGAGTCACTACTCACCCATTCCTCCTCCCCAGGCCCACCCTAAATCCAAGTTGTGCTCACCTACATGCTGTCCCCTGACCATGCCAGGTTCTGTCCTTTCTGTGCCCCACTTCTCCCCAGACCTTCATCCTTCATTCACCATTCAACATTCACGCAGGCACTGCCTCCCCCAGGCCTCCTTCCCAGGCTCCCCAAATGCCTCAGACCAGAGAGCTCACTTCTATCGCAGCACCTAAGATAGCACCTTGCAATCACACGCTAATTTGTCTGTCTCATCCAGTAAATGTGCCTCCTGGTAGTGCAGACCAGGGCCTTTTATCTCCTTATCGACAGCGCCTAACCCGTAGTGGATATTCAACAAAGGTTAGCTGAATCAATATTAATTTTCAAAAGGCAAGAGAAAAAAGTTCCTATCTATTATGTAGCAGTCACTAAGCCACAAAGCACCGTTCTCAAATGAGTGATTTTAACTGAATAATATGGAAGCCTTTTCATTAAACCAGGTCAATCTAATCTCTGTAGTCTTATCCCAGAAAAAGGGCCAGAGCAACCCATAAACCGGTGCCGGCCACAGGAACACACCACTCAGACCTGCTGCAGAGCACAATGTCCTCAGCTCGGCTGCTGCCCTTGGGAGCCAGTACCTGATTCACACAGAGACTGTGCTCCCCCCTGGGGCTGCTCCCAGCCAACGATGAGCTGCTTTAGCTCGGAACTTCGCTGCCACCAGGGAGCAGCTTTCTCTGAACTGTGCTACAGTCAGGGTCTCCTCCTACCCAGTCTCCTTCCTTCTCCCTCTCTTGCAACATCACTGTCCAAAGACTCCCCACCTCCTTCTGCTCCCTCTCCGCTGAATCTCTCACACTTCTAATCCCACCTTGGTGTCTGCTTCTCGGAGGACCCAAACTAGTACACAGCCATTACAGTGAGGTTCGGTTAGCATCTGAAAGGCACTATGAGAATCCACATCAACTAAAGTTCCAAACTCCCTGGGTGCAACTGATTTACTAGAGGACGCATCATCGGCCTGTCAGCATCTCTGAAAAATTTCCTCACAGAACTCCTGGGTCTGGCAATAATACACAGTGCCAAGTGCTGCCAGACAGAGAGGAGCAGGCTGGAGTCTCTTACCCCCTCATCCCCATGCAAGGAACATCCTATTGCAGCCACTGGCCAGGCAGGCACCCTCCACCTCCCAGAAGCCCTGCAAAGGAGATACCAGCCCAAATGAAAGGAGACCTCTAGAAGGGGCAAGTCTAGCCCCAGGCCACAGGTCCAAAAATCAGTAGAGCCAGGAATTCAATCTGGGTCTTCTTCAAGTAGGTCCCAGTGGTCACTACGGGGTCCTTGGCTCCTCTTCTGCCATAAGATTCCCTATCTTTCGACCTCTGGCTTCTCCCCCATCACTTGCACACATACACACCCGCTCCTGGAACTCACCTCTGGCAAAAGCCAGGGGTCATTCTGAAACAAAAGCTGGCAGAGCTCACTGTAGCTGAGGTGGTCAACACCGTGAGTTCTCAGCACACTCAGGTTGTGATCTGTCGTCAAGCTGTGACTGTTTCTACAGTTCTTCCTGCAAAAAAGCAGAGCTGGTGTCACAGTTCAACTGCGCCTCCCCGAAATTCTTATGCTGAAGTTCTAACCCCCCAGTGACTGTATTCGGAGACAGTTTATAAAAAGGTTGTTGGGCTGGGGGGTGGGGGCCTAGTCCAGTCTAACCGAGGTCTTTCTAAGAAGAGAAAATTAAGACACATATGCACACACATGAGGACACAGGGAGAAGACAGCCATCTGCAAGCCAAGGAGAGAGGGCTCAGAAAGAAATCAACCCTGCCAACACTTTGATCTCAGATTTCCTGCCTTGAGAATTGTAAGAATTTTCCATTTAAGCCCCCGGCCTGTGGCACTTTGTTATGGCAGCCCCAGGAAACAGCTAGTAAAATCAGTCTTGAAGACAACCTTTCAGGGATAGTACTTAACATTGCTTAGGAGCATCAGAGAAAAACCCCCATGTCTATGCCATCAAAAAACCATAATGTTTATTTACAAAGGAAAAGACAGTACCTTGCAAGGTCTAGGGACTAGCACTGCACCTCTCATCAGTATCTGGTAAGAATGACAGTGCCATTCCTCAAAGAAGACTGCCATATGACAGTCAGTAGGCACTTAGCAGACACTTAAACATTGGCTGAATAAATGAATGTGGACACCTATGGTCATAGGTATGTGTACACACACCCACACTCTGAGGCTCTGCCCTCTGTTCTGCCCTCTTCCATTCTTTCCATTAACAACCCCTGCTGAACATTCACCATGAGCCACCTACTGGCACCACGCCCTGATGATCCAAACACTTCAAATGATTACCCTGCTCACCAGACCCGGAAGAGTCAAGCAAATATCAGCTGCTTTACTCAGACACTGCCAAACCTCACAGGTTTATCACAAGCATCTCAAAAGATAACCCAACCCTTGATTGACTCCCCCAAACCTGCACCTTTCACAAGCTCCCCCATCTCAGTAAAAGACAAACTTCCCTCTTTCACTGCACAGACCAATAACCTTGGGGTTATCCGGACTCTTCCCATTCTCTCCTCTATGGAAGGGACAGGAGAGGATTCCAAAACAGCACGGTCAGCTGTGCTCGGAGTAGGTCTGTGCAGACAGGAGGGGCACCTGAGCCTGACAGAAGTGGAGAAGCACTCAAGGGACAGTGCCTAAAAGGCGTAAAGCCTAGGCCAAATATTTAGGTTGGGGAAGCAGGCAAGAAGAGCAGGGGAAAAAACATTCTAGGCAAACTTGGTGCCACCAGAACCAAATAAATCTAATAATTAGGATGGTGAAGGCAGCAATAGCTACTAAAACTTATTGAGCATTTACCACAAACCAGGGACTTCCTGAACGTTTTACAAGAGAAGCTGTTCGGCCCTCAATAAGTCTATGAGGTGGATGATATTATCATTTTGCAGATGAGGGAACTGAGGCACCGTTACAAAGTCACTCGCCCAAGATTACACAGCCAGCAAGGAGAACAGCCAGCTTGAAACAAAGTAGGCTGGTCCTGGGGCTGTGCTGGTAACCACCATGCTCACTGCCCCTAAGCACAGGATCAGAGCCAGGGACCTGGGACCCTTCCCAGCTGTCACCAATGAACAAAAGCAGGAGTCATGATCTATTTCGGAAACAACCAACCCTGTGGTTCAGGGAGACAAGTAGAGTCCCAAAGAAAGCACAGAAAGTACAGCCAACCACACCCACTCTCCCTTATGTGACCCAAAAGCAGTTCGAGAAGGAAGGTTCAATGAACTGACCTGTGTGAACCTCATGGAAAATCGAACAGGTAAGAATTTAAAAGAAAACTCAGAATCACCTAGGCCAGGAGATACCAAACTTCCAGATTTCCAAGACAAGTAAAATGCAACCCCAAATCTTGGGAACTAGCTGCAGATCTTTATTTCACCAAACACGGACCTTAACAAGATCCACCAGTTAGCCCCAACATTAGATCCACCCATCCACCATTTATTATGTCCACCTTCTTCTCCAGCTGCTGCTGCTCCTTCTCCTTTGGGGTGAACCATCTACACCAGTCCCCAAGAGCCCAGTTTGCCAGAAGCTGCACCGTCAGCCTCCACCAAAGATCTGACCTGCTCCTGGGGCTGCAGGCCTGACCTACACCAACCAGTAACTCCCAAACCGGCACCTGGGACCGTGGCCATGCTCTCCCAGACTGCAGACTTGCTCAGCCAATAAGAACGCAAAGGAAGAATCATCCTTCAGTCAACAAGAGAGGGGGAAAAAAAAAGGTAGCAGTCATCCCTGGTCAACAATAAGAAAACAGCCATCACCTCTCTCCCATCCTTTCACCATATTCTCACCAACTCCTCTCTCTCTCTCTCTCACACACACACACACACCTCCCTCTTAAGGTCTTAGATGGGCCTTGGAATATTCTAATCTAGATATTTCTCAACAGCTGTTTCCCAGGGGCCATTTCCCAAAACCCCTCATTCGCATGGAAGCATGATGGAGGTCATGAAACATGACGGTCCAGGGAACCGGTGGAAAGCTGTCCACCACTTCCAGACCCGAGAAAACCTCCCCCCAACCTTCCCCTGTCCATCTTCTCCCCCTACTCCCCGGAATCCGAGACCCAGAATGGACTAAAGAGCCAAGGGCTGAGGAGGCAGAGTCTAAGTGGTCGGCCTGGGTCCCTGAATGACTGCGTGGATCAAGCCGGCTACCTCATGCTGCCCAGCGGACCCGAGGGGAGCAAGAAAGAACTAAGCCAGAAAAGAAAAAAAAGAAAGAAAAGAAAGGAAAGGAAAAAGGAAAGGAAACAAGGAGGAACGAATTCTTCTACAGAAACGGACTAGCTTCTCAACAGGGGCACGCTTTTCTCCCCCAAGGCCACAGAGGCCACTGCCGGCTTGTAAGGCAAGCGGGCGAGAGCCGAGACCTGCTTTCGAAGATCCCTTCGGCCACTGGGCGGAGAAAGCCCTCAGCTGTGTGGCCCCTCAAAAGTCTCCCTGGGGACCGGGCGCCAGGGGGAAGGGAGGGGATGGTGGCTCCGGCAGCCAGACGCAGCTTTTTCTTGGGGAGAACCCTACCCTCACCCTCCAAGTCACTCTCTGAGACTGCAGGAGGCTTGGGGACACCGCTGGACCCTGAGTCCCTCACACGGCACCCGGTATTCAGCAAGTGCTCAATTAATGTTCGCCGAAGAGAATTAAGGGGGAAAGGGAGGGGAGGAGCGCCCAGGGAACGGCCGCCCACTCGTCTCCCCAGACTTAGGGAGGGGGCCGGGGCGGGCTGGGAGAGCAGGGTCCCCGGCCCCGGCCGTCGGACTCTGAGCGCGGCGCTTACCCGGCCCTCATGAACTTGCAGGCCCCGCAGACCAAGAACTTGCAGAGGTGCAGCTGCGCGCACAGCCCCACGCAGCCCGGCTTGGGGCTCTGATACGCGCGGCACAGGCGCAGCGCCGAGACGGCCACCACGACGCGCTGAGCGACGGCCCCCGCGCCGCCAGCCCGCGCCACCACCGCGAAGCGGCCGCGCTCCCGCAGCAGCCGCTCCAGCGCGTCGCCGCCGACGCCCTCCCGCAAGCGGCGCCGCAGCTCCTCCAGCTCCAAGGCGCCCCCGGCCGCGCACAGCACCTGGGTCACCTCGCCGAGGACGACGGCCTGCGCCATGGCCGCGGCGGGGGCGCGCTGGCCGTCGGGACGCGGCTGGCAGGATGCGGGCGGCGGGCGGCTCCCGCGGGGCGAAGACGCCAGCTGGAAGCGAAAGCGAAAGCGAAAGCTCCCGGGTGCCCGGAAAAACGGAACCTGTGCCGCCTCACCACGCCCACCGGCCCGCAGCTGAGGGGGCTCGCCGCCTTCCGGCCTCAGGGCTCCCAGCTGTGCGCGGCCGCCGGGCTCCGCGGCTCGCCGCCCCGCTCCGTCGGCAGCCGCGGGGCCGCGGAGGGCGGCTCTCCGGCGCTCCAGAGAGAAGCAGCCTCGTCCCTCGGGGCAGCGCCTCGCGGCTCTCGAAGCGCCTCCGCCTGGCGGACGGGGACGGAGACGCCCGGGCCGTGCGCAGCCGCTCCTCGAAGCTCCGAGCATTTGGATCTCGCGCGGCCGTCGGCCCAGGGAGCTCTCCGCTCGCGTGTTGGCCGCGCACGCGGGGACGCCGCCCACCTGGCGGCCGAGCCCCGCCGCCTGCAGCCCCCGACGGCGCCGGGCCGCATTCCACACCACGTGACCGCGATCACGCCGAGCCGCCGCGCGCCGCGGGCGCTACTTTCTTCGGCGGCCGGTGCGGATCCCGCCGTTCTAAGCCCCGAAGTGTCTGTCCTGTGAGAAAGCGAAGCCGTTTTCCGTGACCGAGCGCCTGGAGACCCCTCGGAGCCCGGCACACGCCCGGGCTGGGGGGTGAGGGTGAGGGTGGGGGTGGGGGGATGGTGGAAAGGTGAACTGTTGGAGCCCTTTGGCAAAGTAGTCCCCGAGTAGCTAGTCAAGTTGTGAAGATCCATGACCTTTGACCCCGCAGTTTGTCTTCTGGGAATCTTCTAGAACTAAAAGGAACAAGTTCCACATAGGAGTGGAAACGGAGGCTATCGGTGTTTCTCTGACTGATTTACTTCACTTAGCTAACTTGACAACAAATTCTAGTAAAATAAAAATTAAATTAACCCTCTTTTTTAAAAAAAAAAAGTAAAAGCAACATCAAATAAGTTGTGGCGAGAGTGTTTTGTGCGGGGGGAGGTACGGTCCTGGGAGTAACGTGGGGGATCCTTGTCCAGACTATTTGTTACGGGAAATTAACAAGCATGCGTTAAATCTCTCCCGACCTAGAAGGACTGGTTAGGGGGGAAAGCGGTACAGAACGGCCTAAGTCAATAGCGAAAGGAGGACCTACTTGTGTGGAAATGTGGCTGTTTTTGAATGAGCAAGGAGAAGGCTCACGAAGGACACACACTGTGCCGAAGTCGGCGAGTGTGCAGTAAGGGGTACTAGGAAAGCGGGGTGAAGATTGAGAGGGAAGGAAACTTAGGTATGTTGTTAAAATTCTCTATATTACCACAAAACGGTAAAAATATCTGTGAAGCGTGTGGATGACGAGGATAAAGCAACACGGATAAATGAATTAGGGGATGGGGTGAGGGGCAATTATCGCTTGGCTTTTTAATGTGGATTTAGGGGCGCCCGGGTGACTTCGTCCCGTAAGCCTTTAAAGTGTTGGACTTGAGGGGCACCTGGGTGGCTCAGTCGGTTGAGCCTCCGACTTCGGCTCAGGTCATGATCTCACGGTTCGTGGGTTCGAGCCCGGCGTCCGGTTCTGTGCTGACAGCCAGCCCAGAGCCTGGAGCCTGCTTCTGATTCTGTGTCTCCTTCTCTCTCTGACCCTCCCCTGCTCACGTTGTCTCTCTCTCTCTCTCTCTCAGAAATAAAACATTAAAAAAATAAATAAAGTGTTGGACTTGGGCTCCGTTGGTGAGTTCCAGCCCACATTGAGCTCTCTGCTGTCACCACAGAGCCCGCTTCGGATCCTCTGTCCCCCTCTCTGCCCCTCCCCCAGCTCGTGGCCTCTCCTCTCTCGCTCAAAAATAAACGTTAAAAATAATAATGAAATAAAGTTGGACTTGAACACGTCGTGGGAAATTTTTTAAGTTTAATTCTTAATTTAAAATTTTAGTTTATAATTGTGGTTTTAATATTGATTTGCAATAAATTTAAAAAAAAAAAAAAAAGGAAGGGTGACAGTAGTGAAAATGGTGGAGTAAGGACCTCAGAAAGCTTGCCCTTCCTAGTGAAAATGGTGGAGTAAGGACCTCAGAAAGCTTGCCCTTCCAGGTGAAAAATTGGCCAAAATGGCCAGAATCTGTATTTTCAGAGCTCCGGAAATTAAAGTCTTGCAGCAACTCATTTAAGCATTTAGTCAAGAAAAACAGCTGAGGGCCTCCTGGCTGAAGCTTGATCTCAGGGATGGGGAGTTCAAGCCCCACTGTTGGGTGTAGAGATTATTTAAATAAATTAAACTAAAAAACAACAACAACAACAACAAAAAGCAACAGCTGAATCTAAGTTGAAAACAAGTTTTGTAGCATTTTAACTTCCCCCAGTCCCGTCTCCTCCTCAGCTCCTTGGCAGGCTTGAAAGCTAACAGCCCACACTCCTGGTACCAGAGAGGGCAGAACAGGGTGGGAGCTGTTTCCAAAGTCCTTGTTGGACTTGTCCACTTCCCTAGAAGACCCTCCTGAAAAGGCTGGTACTAATTCGTCCTCACTGGAACTAGCCTAGTCCTAATGGCTTCTCAAGGGCGTTTTGTTCCATGTTTTAACATAATCACTGACTGGGGCAATGGGTAACAGTTGAGGCAAGCAATAAACTAATCAAAAGCTGAACAGGAAAAGCTGAAGGTTGGGATGTCCACTGGGGCTTTGAAAAGCTCCAACATATTTCTAGAAACCTAGAAGGCCATACCCATGCCGCGAGGATTCCTTCCCACAGAAGTCACGATAAAGCCTCTTGCCCACATTTTCCTCAGTCCCTCTGCCCCCTTGCCTGTGTTGTCGGCGCCTCCCTGTGTGGCCCTGCAAGGTGTGCCTGCCTCCTGTTTCTAGGGACTTGTGAGTATAAAAACATCTTCCTTCATAACAGGCATTTCCAAGTGTGTATGTCTTACCATACCTGATTGAAACAAATTCCTTTAAAACACAAGTCACGAAGGGTTTTAAGATAGAAGAGTTTAGAAGATTCCTTACTAAACATCCAAGTGGAAAATTCCCACTCTGCATTTGGATCTGTGCGTCTGGCATTTGTAGAAGAGGTCAGAACACAAGAGCTGTGAATGTATAGATGGCTAAACCCACAGGACCAATTAGATCCCCAGATAAGAGTGTAAAGTGAGAAGAGAATTGCAAGGATTTGTCCCTCTAGAGCTAAGAAGTCTGAGAGAGACCTGCCTCTGAGGTAGTAGGAAAACCAGGAGAATTTAGGGAATCATGAAAGCCAAATATTTAAATATTTCAAGAAAGGATGATCACCTACATTGAGTGCCATCAAGAGACTGAGTGAAAGGGGGTAGAGAAATGCTTTATCTGGTGCTGTGCAACAAACCACTCCAAAACGGTGGCTGAAAACAGTGGCTTCGTTTTCATGATTTTCCATGAGTTGATGGAGCTCAGCAGGGGTAGTTCGGCCTCACTCAGTACAACCAGTCATTCCTGGGGCTGCATTCAGCTGGAAGCTCATCTGGGGCTAGAACATCCAAGATGGCCTCTCACCCTCTGGCGCCTCTCTATGTGACTGCTCATCAATCAGAGCTGTCCTGAGCTTCTTTATAGTGTGGTCGGGGGAAGAATGGGAAGAACAAAGTGGGTTGAATGGGCACTGAGGACATGAAAACAGCAAACGAATATAGTGTCTGCAAGAAATTTTGCTGTAAAGGGACACAGGAGGTGGTGGTTAACAACAACCAGCCTTACTTACTAGACGGGGTGTTCATGGGGTCTAGGAAGCTTTTTGTCCATATTTTGTCCTGAGGTAATCATAGCTAACGGGTAGCTTCATTCTGCATAAATTGCCCAGTGGGAGGATTGTTGGTGTCAGGTGAACCATTGATTTGGATGGGGAGAGAGGCGATTTGAAGACAGCATGCAAGAAACTGGCTGGGGCAACTGAATGTTGGTGAGGCCACTCACAGAGAAGCCTATTTGTGACTGAATGTGGGGATTCGGGATCTGATACCCAAGTGTAAGGTGTCCCCCTCCACCAGCTGGAGTTGATCTGGAGGAACCAAGCCTGGAGCTTGTGTTCTGCTGGTCCTGCCCTTGACCAGGCTCCTTACCAGGAGTCATTAGAGCCCAAAGTCTCTGCTGTGTTCAGCATACTTACACGCTCATCTGTGGCTAGGCCAGCTGCGTTACGATTTGTCTTCCAAGGGGAGCCCTGCCGAACTCCCGAGCAATTCCCTTTCCGAACATCACAATGCCCGGGAATTCAAGCAGAGCGATGGCACCCGTGAAGTGTCCTGCTTCAAACCTCTGAAAACAGAGCTCTGTGGAACCAAGTAATCTTTAGCACGCTCTTTTTCCTTTTAGGTAGAAGAAAAATCCTTTCCTAATTAGATACCACCCAATGAATTTGTTTTGTAGTTTTTTTTTTTTTAATTTTTTTAATGTTTTATTTATTTCTAGGAGAGAGAGAGAGAGAGACAGCATGAGCAGGGGAGGGTCAGAGAGAGAGGGAGTCACAGAATCCAAAGCAGGGTCCAGGTTCTGAGCTGGCAGTCAGCACAGAGCCCGACGCAGGGCTCGAACCCACGAACTGCGAGATCATGACCTAAACGAAAGTCGGACGCTTAACCGACTAAGCCACCCAGGCGCCCCTGTTTTGTAGTTTTATATATTAACCATTACTATATAGCCAGTGCCATAGCTTCAAAGCAAGGCACACCTATATAATATTTACAAAGCAACTACAACAAAATTTTAAGTCTTAGGTTCTACGTGAGCGATATAATCAGTTTATTTCATTAAAATCTATTCCATCTTCTTTTCATTGTCAAGAAACTTCAAACATCCATTGTTCTACTATATTGGTGAGTTTCTACAGGTCTTAATAGTTGACAGAGACAGAATTCTATAATTGTATTAGGTTCTTTTCCCATTGTTCTGCTTTTTTTCTTTTACCCTATCTCTTCCTCCCTCTCCCATCTCATCCCACTGCTCGAGAGACACAGGGAGAGAGAGAGAATATTGGTAAAAAGCACTGTGTTTATGTTTATTTGGTGTATTTTAGTGAAATCTGTGCTACACCCTGGAAGAGAACACATTC